AGACACTTTTGCCCAGCAGCACGTGGTACCTGTTAGGGCTAACTTCGTAAAAGTGTAAGTAAATGGTGGTTACAATCCCCTCCTTGGCAGATGGGAACACTGAGTAAGGCTAGGACATGCGCTGTGAGTAGCCACAGCCACCAAGCCTGCTGTGACCAGCTGCCCCAGACTTTGCCTTGATCCACCTTCTGCTAGAGCGGGAGTCCGTGCCTTCATGTACCCTTGCCAAGCTCAGTCGCTTCTCAGCTGCTCCTCGGCCTCCACAGAATGTCCACTGGTGTTTAGTGTGGTCATCTTTCTGGCGATCTCGTCCTACGGTGTAAAAGCCATACACCTGTAATCCCATCTCGCTGATCCTCACAGAAGACCAGGCCTGTGCTCCTTCATGAGTCCGCTGGTGTCCATCCTTTACCCCGATCTACTCTTCATCCAACTCTTGTGTTGGAATCCTTCAGGCTCCATTGGAATGGCATCTTTCCAGGGAGGTTCTTCCAAAAACACAGACTAGATTTCTTCCTCAAACACTGGCAGCTATGACTTTGCGGCAATGCTGATTCCACACCAAATGTACCATAGTGAGACCTTTAGATCTTAGTGGAGGAACCATGTCTGGTCTGTGCCCTTCCCACTGCATCCAGGGCACCCTGCCCACGAGACATTCTCCATGATGATTAGTGAGTTAATATCTATTTAGATTGATTATATTCTAGCCCATTTGAAATGCTTGTCCTTCTCATCTCTGGTGAAACACAATATTCTGCCTGAAGCCATCTTTAATTTTTGTTCTAAAACAAAATCTCATGCCTAGGCCCATGGCTTGGTGCTTAGAAGTGCATGTTGCTCTTGCCTAGAATCCAAATTCCACACTCAGCACCCACACTGGGGGCTTATACCCACCAGTGACTCCAGCTCCAGGGACTCATATTATTAGTGGGTCTATTGCGGTACAAAAAGCCATTCTGGGCTATGTATAGGCAAGGACTTCTCTGGAGAACCTTCATCCACTGCCTCAAGTTTCACCTCTAGTGACGAGCTGAGAACTGCTGGGGGCATAACTAACACAGACGGCTCCTGTAGCGCAGAGCAGCCAAAGCACATCCATGCGCTAAAGATTCTTTTCCATGTGAGTGACAGCCCAGCGTAGATCTTATAGATCTCATCTCCCCACCTGCAGACATGGCCTGGAAAGTGGATACATTGGTCGAGTTAGGGTCAGAGCGTTCCCTGGTCACAGCCACCCGTCATGTCAGGGTTGTCATCTCTTGTCCTGCCCCTTCCCTTAACGATGCCCAAGAGGCAGGTCTGGAGATGGCAAGATGACCTGAGACACACATGCTCTCCGTAGTGAGGCCGAGACTTCAGCGCCTGCTGGTCGCCATACACAAGTGAGGGACGTTCTCTTAAACAGCCATGAAGTCTGTCTGGGTTCATCCCTGATCCTCTCTGCTTAGTTGCATCCCTGACTCTGTGTCTAGGAATCTGTGTGAAGAGTTAACTTTCAGGGTCATGTAAGAGCAACTCATTATCCCCCTCCAGCAGAGCTGGAGACCATCATTCCTAAGTGGTAGCTTAATGGCCTCAAGCGAAATGCTTTCTTAAGAGGCATTAATAAACTCAGGAGCTGGGACTCCCATAAAGGTGGCTGAAGGTGCTGGTTAGTGCCCTGTCCCCTGTTCTTCCAGGAAATAGAGACAGGAAAGAAGCCCAACAGCAAGAGTTTCTGAGAAAACTTGACACTTCAGGAGTCCTGCATGGAGTTTCTGGTGCTTCATAACCCCCTGTGGCCTGTGACCTTTCACCTCCCTTTGTATCATGTCCTACCAGTGTGTGCGCACACATGTGTGTGCTCACACTCTCTCTTTCCATCTCCTTCTCCCTCTTCCCTCCCTGCTTTCGGAGTCTGGACAAGAATGATGGTGATAAGGAGAAGGGAAATGGACTCTAGTGGGTGGCAGATTTCCATCTCTTAAGAGTTTTGCCCCAAAATGTATCTCAGTAAACATGTAAAACAGCCTAACTGTATGTGCCGAGTAAAGCAGGTATTATGATGAACGTTTTCCGGATGAAGAACCTAGGATTCATTCCCTAGGAGATGAGGACAAAGCCAATGTTGGGCTTTCTTTCCAGTCTTCTAAGGTGATCCTGTGTGGAGTCCCCTACAGCGTGATTACTGGTTTATACACTCCTCCTTCACCCAAAGACAGAGACAGGCCTGTCTCCCATCCTAGCTCAGGGTCAACACAGGAATACAGGGGCTGGGGGACAGGAAGGTGGGTACTTGGCCTTGGATGGGAAAGAAATTAGTGACCTACAGAATTACACCTGTCACATCTGAATTGTGACACTTGGTGAGATTACTCCTAATCCGTGTCTGCCTGTGAAGCCTGGGGTATCCTTCATCCCTCCCCCAAGTTTACACACTGTTCCTCAGCACAGATAAGTTTCTTGTTCATAAAGGTCACAGTGACTCTTCCTTACCTTCCCTGTAAACCTAGTGGTTCCAGAGAGAATCCCGAGTCGCCCTTACAAGCCTTACTATGGCCCAATTCTGATATCAATGATATGATATCAAAATCCAGTTTCCCCTCTACAGAATGGCAGTCATAAACACATAAGGAGGTACCACCAGGGTCACAAAACTAGGCAGATGTGGGATATTTAAAATGTCCCGGCCAAGTGGTAAGTTCTGCTCCTTGTCTGCAGAACATTGCTGAACTCTTACTTTTACCAGGAAATTGTGTGAGGTTCTGAGGGCAGGGGAAACACCCAACCCCAGAGGAGCTCAGCCAAGTGCAGAGGCCAGCAGACACATGGTCACCAGGAGAAGACTTTCCGTGTCCCCTGAACATGTATAGCACTCAGGCAAACTCTCTTAGTGCCTTTGGGCAATGCAGCTGTGCCTGACTCATGGGGAGGCTCGGAAGCTGAGGACAACTACTGCTGCTGGCATGGAGGAAGTGAACCCAGAGCGGGTTTACTTCCAGCCTTGAGGTCAGTAAGAGAGCGTGAAAGTCAGAAATAGGCATCTCACCATCTTGGACATCAAAATCTTTCTTGATTGTCCTTGTGCACACATGTGTCCAAGAATAGACGGCAAGCTCCTTAGCAGTTGAGTGATTTTGAAAGGATGAATTCAGCTAGTCTGTGGGTCAGCTCAGGTCTCTGAGTGACCTGGTTCAGAAGTTCTCGCTCATCACGCCCGGCAGGCCAGTGAGTGGCCGTAGGCCCTGCTGAGGCTGCTGAGGTGCCATGGTGGGTCCCACTATGCACAATTTAAGTCTGAAGCTCTGGTTCCCCCTGTCCTGGCTGAGGAAGCCCACGTTTCACTGACTCGGGGCTTTCTGAGTGTGAGGGTGCACAGAACAGAGTAACTGGCCTCTTTCCTTCTAGCTGGAACCTGGGCATCCTTTCCCTTGGTGCTGCGAGAATTCCAATTTGCTGTCTTGGATTTCACAGGATCTTTTGTGAGAAATCAAGCCTACAGATGTGATGGTTTACTGAAGCCTGGGAGATAGGGTTCTTAGGACTGAATGCTTATGTTTTCTTTGTAAAAAAAAAAAAAAAACTCACACACAAGGGTCTGAGTTTGACCTACATCCTTTCTCGTGTGGCCGTCTTCTTGGTCTCGTTGGCTTCTCTTCCTTTTCAAGCTGCTTCTAGAAGCTGAGGACACTCAGGTAGAGTTAAGCATTGACTACAGAGCAAAGAGAACGAAAGAGGAAGAGAAGAAGCCCCATAGGTTTTCTTCCTCTTTGATAGAGAATTGCATCTTAGAATGCAGAAAGATGGGTAAGTCGGAGGTCAAAGCAAGGCTGTGCCCCTGTCTGTGGAAATGCCATGCTTGTCCAGATGGGCCCCAGGGCAGTAGTTTCTGCAGATGGATGGATCACTTTCGAGTCAGTCAAATGCTTTACAGATGTAAATATGAAATGAGCACAAGGGTGCCTCTGTTTCCCTTCTTTCCTCTGTGTCTTTTCTGAAGAATCCTCAGTGTGTAAAGTGAAGGCCGCCGTCATAATTAAACTGGACGAGCACATTATGAATGACAAGACACTATCTGAGAGGCTGAAATTTGGACTTGAAATAAGATGAAAAGATAAGGCAATGCTTCTTTGAAACATTTTTACAGGAAATTTCATACAACACACCTGCGTATGTGCCTGCCAAGTGCTTTTACCCTCAGCTAGCATTACGCCCCGCTCTAACCCGAGGTCTTCTCTCCCATTCATAAAGGAAAACTGTTAATGGCTTGCCTTGTGGCAGGGAGTTCAATTCATAATTGATAGAGTACTGAGCATTCTCCATGCATCATCAGAAACACACTGCAAGCATGCTGATGCTCCTGAAGTCTGCTTATTCCTGGTCAAACCCTGCGACCCCTGAGGCTCCCTTCCATGCTCAGGGATATGATCCTCTCATGATCTGGGGGCAATTTGGGAAGGCAGCCTGTCCCAGGACCCTAAAGAGGATTTGGGGTCTCTACAGAGCTAGTGTAGAGGGACCTGTGATTTGGGTCCAGGGTGACACAGAGCTGTGGGAACCTTTCTTTTACTTGTTCCTTCTAGAAATTGGCCTGAGATCTAGATTGGCATCCACGTGCTCCTTCCCTCTCTCCTGACTCCGGCAGCCACCTCCTGGGTGTCTCTTCCCATCTCATGGATTCTGAATCACAGCATCAGTGCTAGAGTTACTGGAGGGAGGACGCTCTCTCCTTTGTGCAGTTCAGAGGCAGGCGCTAAGTCAGCATGAGTGCTTTGTAGTTTGTTACACTCACCCTCCAACTTCTCTGTCAGTCTCTGCGGATCCAATCCTCTAGGTCAGTGATTTCCAAACCTCACTCATCATTGTCACCCAGGGACACATTAAATATCCGTGTTCTGTGTCCCCACTTGGAGGGCATTCCAACTCTGAGGGCTGCAGGAAAGCAGAAGTGAGGACAAAGAGGAAGGAAAGGAGCTGAAAATTGCTCGCTCGGGCATCTCGCTTCACAGCTTCCCGCAAATGTGATTTATTTTTTATTATTCATTACAAAGAGTTAATGATATAATTATCCAAAAGCAATTAGATGCAGAATGGAAACAAAGTGCTTAAGGGGCCGGGAGGCAGGCTTGTTGAAACGGAGACGGGAGGAGTCGGATATCTAGATGATGGACTCCGCAGGGACCTGGGCTTCTGCTTCACATGGAAGCTGGGGAGAAGAAACTGTGTTGGGGACTGGTGCAGCCCTTTTCTCTTCCATCTTGCATCCAGTCTTTAAGGTCTGCACAGACACTCGGCCAGCATCTCTGGTTTCACTCAGCTGCAGTATCCTCAAAAGGTGGGAGTCTTTTGGAAAATGGGGACACTTTCTGTTAGCCAGACGGTGTTATAAGCAGTAGGGACTGCATGGCGATCACATTCAGGACCTGTGTCTTCTCAGAGAACTTGCATTCTGGTGAGGACCAATGTAACCGATAGACAAATGACAGCTCTACAGACTGTAGTGGACTTGAAGGAAGCGCACAGGGTCCTGTAAAAGAGACAGGATTGTATTTAGGACACGAGTCAGTTTCAGCAAAAGGGGTCCATCGTGAGAAAGACCCAACTGGGCTAGGCGTGCTGGCAGTTGCCTGTGGTCCCAGCACCGGGGGAATCTTGAGGCAGGTGGTTCTGAGTTCAAGCCAAACCAAGCTGCACAGAGGAACTCTATCAAAAGAAGCCAAGTAAATGGTGAAAACAAGAAAAAGCTCACTGCCCACCAGTACCTGACTTTCCTGGACTCTGAGTCCAGCTTACAGACCTGGTTGATGTGAGGCTTTTAGCAAGTGGTTGACTTATAGCTGTGTAACTGAGCTACCAGTAGTATGTCGGCAGGCTGCTTTCTTTCAGGTTCATTTAGGAGGGCATCTGTCCCCGGGTTTTTTTCTGCTCTCACAGGCTGCCTGCCCTTCTTGGTGTCCGTCCATGCCATCTTCAGAATCAGCACACCTCACTGTGCCTCTCTTGCATCCCGCTTCCACATCTAAGGACTTTGCGATTATACCAATTCCACCCAGGAAAACTGAAACAACCCCTGCCTTTCCACAGCCTACCCAAGCCACACCTGCAGTCTCCTCGGCTGGAGAAAGCATCATCTTCCCAGAGTCAAGGATTCACATTCTGCCAACATGACCTGGACCTGGCTCTTCTTCCCTTTAAGATTGGAGCATTTCTGTCTTTTCCTTTTATTTCTTACTTTTTCATTTTAAGACTGGGTTCCTATGTCCCAGGGTTTGAGATCTCCATGCTTCAACCCTCAAGTGCTCACCACACCCAGCCTAGGAAATACTCACACCCCAGAACAGTGTGGGAGTCAGTACGGCAAAGGGCATGAGAATGGTTTCTTATGGTCCAAGGGCCAAGAGAAGGGCTGGAGGGATGACTCAGCACTTAAAGCTCCTGCAGAAGACCCAAGTTCCATCCCCAGAAGCCTGCACGGCAGCTTGGACCTCCTGTAACCCCACCTCCAGGGGATCTGGTGTCCTCTTCTGGTCTCCTCCAGCACCTGCATTCATGTCCACATACTGCACAGAGACAAACACAAGCATGCAAACTACAAAATTAATCTTTCTTTAAGTTACTAGAGTGATAAAAAGTTCTATAATCTTGAGAAAGTATTAGAGAAGAAAGGCAAATTAGCCCCTTGAAGGAGGCAAGTCAGAAGAACCTCAACTCTTCTGCTCAGCTTGATCACACAGAAATATGACAGAAATGCATCAGACATACTCACCTCCAGCCAGACCCACGGGGAAAGAAGGACGTTTGACTGCACCACCCTCGACATCTTCATTTCAGACCCATGGCAAACCTCAAACACCGTCATGCCAGGCTCCTTGTGAGCACACCCCTGCACCTTATTCTTTTCAGGCTTTCAATGTCTTTCTTGGTATAACAACCTTTCTTTCTCTTTTTTTTGTTTTGTTTTGTTGTTGTTTGGTTTTTGTTTGTTGTTTTTCTAGAGAGAGTTTCTCTGTGTAGTCGGGGACTGTCCTTGAACTCTCTCTGTAGAACAGGATCTTAAACCTAGAAATCCACCTGTGTCGGCTACCAAGTGCTGTGATTAAAGGCATAGGCTGTCTCACAGGCCACTCTTAAGGAATTATTTCATATTCTAGGCAGTGTGCTAAGTTCAGAGCTTAGAGCTGTCAAAGTCAGCCTCTCCCTTCCTGAAATATCTGGTGTAGTGTACTCTCCTAAACCCCTTGTTCACAGCCTTACATGGGGTGATTGTTAACATTCTCCTGAATTTGAGGATCCTGCATAACTCGGCTGTACATTGTTATTACAGAGACAGAGCCTCACAGTTCCAGGTTTTGAATTAAGCAGCTCTTAGCCATCACAGTTATGTCTTGGCATAATGAGGGTAGTATAGAAGCCTTTGAACCACAGGAATTCCAGAAGACAATGGAAGCCTCTCTGGGATGGATAGATTTACCTGGCAAAGGGTGACAGACATCCTAGGCTAAACTACTTAGGTCTTAACCAGACTCCTTATTATAACTACTGTTGCTCATTGATCACAGAAACTATCCATTTTGGATTAAAGATAACTCTGGGCAGCAGGGTGTGGTGGGATTCTGGGAGATTTCAGACAATTTTCATCCTAAAACTCCTGCATATGAAGGGTGACATAATGCCAAGGCAATGATGACACAGACAATACCATTGCTTCTTTAATGCTTTAGTTTGGGTGCACGCCTCCACTCTCCTCCCTCAGCTCGGGCACTTACTGAAGATGCTTCAGTAGTACAACACTCTCTGGGGGCCTCACTAAGCCATGGCCAGGCCGTGAAAACCTGCCCAATCAGGGAACTTGCAAAGCTAGCCTGGAATCTCCTCACGGTTGCTCTTTTTCCCTTTTCCCTCATTCACTCTGAGCTTTTTTCCCTTAGGAATGTTAAACTCTCACATCTTGTCTTACTTAAAGCTTACCCTAAATTGTTTATGTGTGATCCATCCATAAAGGTTAGACCTCACCCTTTGGGTCCAATCCAGTTCACACAGATACCTCAATGAATGGCCATCAGGTCAATCCATCTCTAGTTATTATTGCTTATTAACTGCTTGCTGACACCTTTGTCTTTGTTCTCTAAAAGTAATGTTAGCTCTTGCTTGATTGTTGTTTTAATGTGTTATTTCTCTGTGTTCCTTTTATTGGATACCACAGGACTTTGTACTTAGTAGGCACTCGAAATAGCCATTGTTGGACAGCGCGGCTGATGATTACCTAAACATTGAAACCGTCTTTCTCTTTGCCATCCCTAAGGATGAGTTCCACACCCCACTGAGGAGAATGCATTCAAATTGGAGGAGCCAGTTGTTTGGTGAAGCACTTTGGAAACCTGCTTTATTTTTCCAGATTCTTCCTACAGCTTCTGAGGGTTCGGTGCCATATGTCCCCATGGCTGAATACCAGAAAGCTTAGCAGTTGAGCACAAAACCTGTCTCCAAATTACACACCAGCCAGGTCCTCCTACTTGCAATGTTGTTAGGGTAGCGTGGAAGACAGAAAAGGTACACTGTGCTATGGCTGGCAGAGTCCCGCTCCAGTTCAGGGGAGGCAAAGTCAATCAGTATCATGTTTTTACAATATGGTTCTTCGGCAGGAGTGCCTGCCATCCCTGGCTTTTCGTCCCCAGAGGGTGGCGTATGTGGTATCTCGAGTGGCTCTCAGGAACCCACCCAGTCAGAAGAGGTATGCTCGTATAGTGAGAGTCTGACCAGGACTAGAAAGCAAGTGGATACAGACAGTGTGTATACAGACAGATGTCCTTGCTCACTCTTACAGCAGCACAAAGAGAGTCAAAGCACTGTCGGCCTCCAGAGAGGAAAGCAGATGCTGTTTCCAGACACTGGTGCCACTCGGCCGTCTGGATCACAGCACTGGAACCCCATGGAGTACCTGATTTCCTAAATTCAGATTTGGGGAGGTAAAGAATGGACAGCCAAGCTTTGGAGACCTTCCCTGCCAAGTTTAAGCATTAGGGTGCATCAAAGTCAGTGTCTACAGAGTCCTGTATAAATGCCATGCCAGTAGAAACCAAGCATGTAGAACCCAGGGTCAGAAACCTGGATCCACTCCATCACTCCAGGCCCCAGCTCCTGCACCCTGAAAGGCTTGTAGCCACTCTCTTCTCAGGCGACATCTGCTTCCAGATCCCAGACTGTGAGAAGGCTTTCCTGACCGACCACCCCATTGAACTCAGCAACCTCTCCCCTTACCTGTTTGTCTCCCAAGAACTAACCACTTCTAGGCAATTTTGTATCCATCCATGATTATCCTGTCCCACTAGAGGCCAATGACCCCTCATATGCCACAACCATGTCTTGTTGATGAGAACAAAATCTCTTCTGTATACGGTAGAGCCTAACACGTAGATACTCAGTGTCTGTAGGAGGCTTGCGCTGGCCAGATTCACTGAGGTAAAGTTGCCCATCTGGATAGCATGTGTGAAGGATGTATGTAGTTAAGTAAATGTCCTTACTTCTACCTCATTGCCTCTTTTCAATAAAACACTCAGCTCCGGCCTACAGCGACCTGTGATCCCAGGTGCCCCCTCCTGCCTCTGGATCCCCAGTCAGAACTTCATAGGAGGGCTTGAGTTTCCCACGATGCAATGCTGTGTACTTCTCTCTTACACTTGAATCCCAATAGCTGTGGTACCTCACCTCACATGCCTGCCCCTCCTTTACTCCCGTTTACTTCTCTTTCATTCAAGGTCAGAGTCCTTGGCTCTGTATTGTCCTGGTGTACTTAAGCCTTGTAGTGAATGGGACCCTCATACCTGCCGTTTAGCTGGCTGCCAGGAGAGTCTGAAAAGACAAGAACAAACGCAGTCAAAACTCCAGTATAATCAGTCTGCTTTCACTGCCGGAGCCTTTCTGTTAGTGAAACTCAAGGTGTAACTTCTTTATCTCTAGGAATATTGGGGGGCTTTCCTCATAAGACCCCACTCCTCCCTGAGGAGACAGAGGAAGTGAATGATGGCTGCAGGGGCAGGGATCATGACCCTTAGTGGCATAGCCTCTGGCGAGGTGTCCATGCTCCAGTTAATACGCCCTCCGTCCATGCTCACGTGAGCAACCCTGATTAAATACGGTGAGCCATGCAAAAAAATGGAAAAGGCACGGACACAGGAGGGAAGAGAAGAGGGCCCCATGGGAGGGGAGAGAGGATATGAGAATATCATCCAAGTACAGTGTATGTGTGCGGATAAATAGGGCTTTCCCATCAATGCAGGCAGCGAGAGAAATCAGCCAGAGTATAGAGCGCTGTGTGGTGCGGGGTGAGAAAGGCGAGAGCTGGACTCACAAGCACAGAAGTGCCCAGTGGATGTGAGCGGACCCATCTGAAACAGGTTCTGGGTGGAGGGAGAATCGGTGTGAGGAAAAGGTGAGCATGAGAGACAGCTCCAGATGGCAGAAGTCTGGAGTCCTCACCAGGAGTGCAGAGGACTCGGTCTGGGCAACCATTTGCCCCATGGTTAATTCTGAACAGTGCAAGAATGATCTGCTATGAGTACATTCTCTTCATTCTCTCAAACAGTGCAGTTCGAGGGATGTTCAGGAATTTCCTAGATCAGGATTTCATTATAGTTTTTAAGATTTGTCGATGTAGCTCAAAGCCAGACTCGTCTACACAGGGAGTTCCAGAATAGCCAGGACTGCATAGAGAGACCTTGTTTCAAAAAAAAAAAAAAAAAAAATCAATCCAAAGAAGAAAAACAAAGAAAAAAAACCTTGTTTATATTTTATGTGAGATTGTTTGCCTATGTGTACCTATATGCACCATGGAGGCAAGAAAAGTGTGTCAGATCCCCTGAAACTGGAGTTACAGGCATTTGTGAGCCACCATGTGAGTGCTGGGAACCAAACCCAGGTCCTCGGCAAAAGCAGCCAGAACCCTTTGCCACGGAACCAACTCTTCAGGCCCCAGTCGATTCTCTTTTCTTTTTAATTTTCCAGGAGTGTTTCCAACCACACCATGGAACAGTGCTTACTTGCCCAGACGCCTTCATTGGCTTTCAGTGGTTCTGAAAGCCTCCTACAGCTTCTAAAGTTCAGTACTGTGGGGCCATTGGAGAGCCATCTCGATGCAGAGGACCTTGCCACCCCTAGAAAGCAGACACTGAGATTAATCCCACCGGCTTTCATCTTCTTGTGCCTATTTCAAACACAAACACATTCCTTTAACTCAGGCAACAGGGATGGGATGGGGTGCGGTGGGACACATTAGGAATAGCATTAGTTCGGGTTGTCCGGTGTACCTGAGTGACTCAGTCTAAAATTATGTTATAACTTCGCAGCAAACATGCTTCAAGGCAGCTGGCAGGAGATTAAAATAAAAGTTAAGTTGAAGAGGAAATAATTTCATCAGAATTGGGGCTTTTGCATGATATAATGAGATCGTCATAGCAAATAAGCTGATATGTCTTCTTATGGGTTTAGGGATTCAAGGAAATAACGTTAAAATACAGACTCAGAGTAACTAGGGGTCTACAATAACAACGCGGGTGGTAGAAGTCTTGTCACGGAAGGTTCGGCTTTGAACAGCGTGCTTAGACATGAGCGCCTCTTGCTTGTCATGAAGAAAGAGATGAGGAAGCGCATTTTTTTCTTCTTCTTTTAAGGAACTTTCCACTGTGCCCCAGTACTTCCCCCCCCCCACCTCCCAGAAACCCCATACTTCATTTTGCGCTGCAAAAGGGCAATCAAGACTCAGATTGTTCATAAAAAGAAGAGCACAGACCTATTTCTGCGTGTTTGTGTGTTACTGTCTCATTTTCCATGATTCAAACACAGAGTGGGCCCACCGTGCAGAACACAAAGCTTGCTTTCCCTGCTGACAAACCCACAGAGGAACGTGACAGCGTTTTCCTCGGCAGCTGACCCACTGGCTCTGACACTTTTGCTCTTGGCTCTCTTTTCGTTCAAAGAACACTTACTTTTCCATTAGGCCAAGGATGCGCCTTAACGTTACCAAAAACGGTGAGTCAGACCAGCTTTGGGAATCCATAGCTGGCTATTCTCTCAGTCTGCTAAGATTACAGGAGGAAGGGCTGGCGAGTACACGCACGTCTCACACTCTCACACGAGATGGAGGGGGAGGGGCGGCAAAGTGAAGGTCAGAGCTCCCTGATGCCTAGGAAGTATGGTCAGGTGAGAGTGGGAAGAATCTTTGCTCCTTCAGGTTCTGGAGGCCCCTGTATCATGTTCACTACCCGTGAGAGTGTTAACTGACAATTTCACAGGCTCTCCATTCACCCCTGAGCAAGCCTGTGCGGGATTTTCTTTTACCACATCAATTGCTGAGGGAAGACCCACCTTAACTATGGGTAGGAACATTTCCCAGGCAGGGAATCCTGGGCTGAATAAAGCAGAAGTAAACATGTATGTATTTCTCTCTCCCTCTGCTTCCTGATTGCAAATGCAATGTAAGAGAAGCTTAACGTCCTGCTGCCTCTACTCTGCCCACCACTGCTCCCCCATGACCTCGGATACCTTCTCACTGCTTTTTAAAGGTGTTTTGCCACACAGCAGAAGGAGGGAAAAGGCTAAGACACTATCTGTATCCCGCAGGCTGTGATGGTCTCAGCACTCCTATTGACATTTGAGGGAAAATAAGAGCGCACTTGACAAACTCAGCTCTTCGCTACAGCTGCTTCCAGAAAAGCAGAGAGGTGTGGGTGCACAGACTCCAGTGCCAAAGACTGGAGGCTTCAAGGACACTTCCTGAAGACCTGAGGACGGCAGATTCCGGTCGGTCCCGTGGTGCCGCGTGCTCTAAGTTCTAAGCAGAAACCAGATCTTAAGACCCACCTCTGGAAATGCCTGAGCTCTGTTTGCCTTTATCGTTCAAGGTTAAGCCCAAGTGCTGTATACCTACACGATTTCTGTGCAGTTAGCTTTAAATGTCAACTTGCCATATCCTAGAATCATTTGAGAGAAAAACCTCGATTAAGGAGTTGGTGGGCTAGATCAGATTGCCGTGGGCATGTCTGTGGGGGACTATCTTGACCAATGGCTGGCGATGGTCCTGGACTATGAGAAAGCAGTCAGTCGGTAAGCTAGTTAGCAAGCAGCATTCTTCGTAGTTCTTGTCCACTCTGTGAATTTAATTCCTTCGCTGGAGGGGATGCTGTGTGGAATAGCAAGCAGCCTTGTCTTCAAATCCCTGCTCTGACTTTCCTTGGGGGTGAACTGCTGCATGGAATTAGGAGTTGAGTGAGTCCTTACCTGCCCTAAGTTGTTTGGGGGATCTCAGCAACAGAAAAATGTAAGCAGGACAGCTTCATGGTACACAGGAAGACCACTTACTGACCATTGTGTTAGCCCTCTCCAACAGACAGCTGGTGCTCCTCTCATCTTCCACACGGGGGTCTTTGTCTCATAAGCAGCATTTATAAGAACCCTGAGGTAGGCAATTATTGCTATAGGAACTGTAAGAAACAAATCATATGAAATTAGATTTTTCTCCCTCATGCAAGAATGTGGCTAGAAAGCCAAGAACTCCCCTCAGCCTACTGAAAGATTTGCATGAGCAGGCCCCATGCTCTGCTAGTGGGCATAGAGAACTGTGGGCTCTGGAGTGCGGGAATAATGACGCTCTCCTGTGAAAACCAAGCGCGTCTATTCCCTTTCAAAGCCGTGCCTTTAATTACAGAGGAGATGGCCGGCAGATGAGGCAGTGTCACCCTCAAGTACGCAGAGGTTACATGCATGCAGCATCTTGCTTAAAAAATCCTCCCATTCAACGTCTTTTCATGTGCCTGCCAATAAAGAGGGGCAGTTTCCTTTTCAGCCTTGGGTCTCAGTGACTCGATGTCAGCTTTTTCAGCTGCCGCAGCTGGAAAATTCAGGTGGATTCCAAACTGTGACTAGAGAGATCAGAGCTGAGTTAAAAGAAGTCAAACAACGGGAGGGAAGAACGCTCCGTGCGCACACAGAGAAGCAGCATGCAAAGATAAATTGCATCTGCCTGTGACCGTATTGGCACCTGTCATAAAGCTATGAATTTGCTAAGAATGGGTAAAGGTCATTTGGAGAAAAAAAAAACCTTCTCTTTCTATTGCCAAAGGCGGTGAAGAAAAAGGCACCTGTAGCACTCGTTCCCGTGGGGGAAATAATGTTACTAAATGATATTGAAAATTTAAAAATATGAAAAGCAAGAATGAAATGATATGTAATATCTAAGTGAGCTCAGATAATGGGGATTGATCTGAATTGATGCAGAGATGGATCAAGGGTTGTCAAATTGTTCCCTCCCTCTGGCTGTATATCTTTTTGAGTTCTGACTATGTTTTCTTTGATGGAGAAAATGATAGGTTTGAAAATACACTGTGAAAGGCATCCACAGATCAAGCCCCACTAGGCTTTCTGATTCAGGAGCATAAAACTGTCAGGTCAAAAGCAATTCCCGTATGCGACCTTAATCTAACAAATGATTAGACCCGATCCCGGTGCTTTGAAATATCTTTGGTTGTCGTGATCAAGCACGGTATTATTTTAAGCAGGTTTTTCTCATCCCTGTGTTTCTGAAAAGGTGTATGCTGCAGGAATTTTCACTGAAGCCTCCCATGATATCCATTTCTTTTTAATGCTCCCCTGTGGTGGACTTTTGTTCACTAGACAGTGTTTTCCTGTATACCCTTACTCATTTAGGAATAAGGCTTGACCAAAAACAATGCCTAAGTTGAAGATCCATCTCTTTGGTGTCTGCGTCTCACAGTTTGGCTTCTTACATGTCTCTTCTGCTTGGAATGGATGTTCATATCCCTGGTGTTAATGCTGGCATCCCTTTTTCCTTCCCCAGAGCCAGGCAAGCTCCTTGCCTTCCACTTAGAATCTGAGGGAGGGCTTACAGCCTTGCACACTCCTTATCAGAGTGCTAGGGAAGGGTGGGGGGAAAGTCAGCCTGGAGCAGTGGAGAAAGAGTAAGATCAAGAGCGAGGGTTGGGAGGATAACGGAAACACCAATTCAAACATTTGCTTTAAAAAGAAATGGCCAGGCAGCATCCTCCCTGAAATGGCCTCCCGTGGCCTCCCATTCTCTCTTTAACAAGGGAACCTGTTATCTTAAGCCCCAGCTGCTGTCAAATGCACACACATTCCATGGGAGTCAGCCTTGCCACAGGTGACCCTGCTCTATCTGAGGAGAGCTCACCTCCTCCTTGACATTTCCCATTGCTCACCTCCACCTGCCCCTGCCCTCCTCACTCCTTAAGTCTTGATGTTTCTGGAGTTTGGCTCCCTCCCTTTCCCTTCTCCTGTCTGCCTTCTCAGGAGCAGTCAAACCTTCGCTGACCACTTACGGTTCTTTCCACTCTAGTCAAGGGCCCAAGGCTCTCTCCTGCCCGGCCATCCTGAATATCTAACTAGCGAAAGGATATAGCCACTTCCACACCCCACAAACAGCTCATATTCAACGTGCCCAAACTTGAACCCATCATTTGCCTGGTTGCCACCCACCGTAGCCATGAAACACAATCTTCTCCCTACATTCCTCTTCTCAGTGAATGAGTCCAACTTCTATCTGGGCACTAATCCAGACTCTGGATTTGGATTTAACTCTCTCACTCCTCCCCTCCTTCTCCCTCCCTCTCTCCCCCCCCCCCCCCCCCCTCTCTCTCTCTCTCTCTCTCTCTCTCTCTCTCTCTCACACACACACACACACACACACACACACGACATGTAATTAACCATCCACTTCATTAGGTTCCTGATTGCTATGTCCCCATGGGTGGCGGCATGTCCACTCACAGCAATTTAGTTCAAGACTCGTTCTTATTGTCATACTGAGCCCTGAGACTTCCCTTGTCTTTGGGCTTAAGCGGTGCCATCTCTGGCACACACAGAAATAGCGTCCATTTGAGTTGCTGTCTGAAATACTCCCCAGCTCATGTCACTGCCCCACTGGAAGCGCTCTGGCCATGCTTTCCCACATGGTCCCCAAGCCAGGAAGGCTGCTCCTGCCCCTTCCCGAGCTTCCTCACACTGTCTTACTGGCTTTGCCGGTGTTTACAGTCCCTGAAGGCCTCGTTGTCCATGCAGTGTTTCCTGGGAAATAATTCCCTTTCCTAAAACAGAAGTGTCCCCCCCCCCAGTGTGTA